GTATCCTTCACCTCTCAACCTGGCCATTCAGAGTCACTTACCTCCCCAAAACCGCCTTTCCCCAGCACCCGGAACTCTGTAAAGTACTTGTCTGACACTGGTTGCATCTCAAACATTTTCCACTGCAGAAACTTGTCATAGAAGGGGCTGGCCAGGAAATCCCGGAAGGGCTGGTCCTGCAAGAAGGCCATGGCTTCAGTTTTGGCCAGTGCCACCAGAGCCACTTGTTCTTCTTCAGCGGTGGCTGCTTGGCACTTGGTGGCCAGCGTAGGGCTGAGGAAGGTGTGTGGGTGCCCTGGGGCTGGGGCAGCCACGCAGGTGGCTGTGAGCCCCTGCAGGGCGCTGCTCTTACCCAGGCCCTCCTCAGCCAGCTCCCAGCTATGCACCTCCTCAAGGAAGGCCACCGCCTCTGAGTAAGCGGGGACGGTTGCTAGGAAGTCCCTGAAGAGGCGGCGGCCGATGGGCTGCTGCTCACACAGGCTGTCAAAGTCCTGGGGTAGGGCCTCTCGGAGCTGGGCACAGCTCTGCGGCCCGGGTAGCCTCAGGGTCCGGCGCCTGCGCTGTAGCTCCCTGCTGTCTCCCTCCGAAGACTTTCGGGCTTGCAGGTAGGCGGTGTTGGCGATCAGGTTGTCCAGGCCCCCCATGTCGACCATGTCTGTGCACAGTAGTGCTCCCCAGGAAAAAGGAGAGGACGAATGGGAGGGTGGGGGCCGGCCAGGACGCAGTCAGGTCGGCGGCCGGCTGGCTGGTGCTGTTCTAGGATTTGCAGAGAATCCCTTGGCTCAAGGGTGAGGCTGCTGGAGGGGGCAGAAAAGGGTTTCTCTTGTAAGAAGCTTTGCTGGCTATGTATAGCTCGCAGGGAAGGGCACATCAAAGGTCACACTGCAAGGGGAAGCTGCCTACTTGTACACACCCGGGCCTTTCTCCACACTCTCCTGCTCCCCCAAACACATAGAAAATTAAAAAAAAAAAGTTAAAAAAAACTTTAAATTATAAGCTATTTCTAATTTACACAGCCTGCCAGATTAAACTACATAAACTCTGAGGAATAACAGAACAGAAAGGGGAACTGAAAGAAGCCGGTGAGGTTTTCTTCCTTGAGTCTAGAAACCTGACAGCAGAAACAGAGTCTAGAAACCTGACAGGAGGGGATGCTCTGAGTTCTGAGACACATTCCCAGAGCCCCTAGGGCTCAATAGTGGCCCTCAGAGAGAGCTGTGATTTCCCACAGCTGGTTGTTCCCTGTGCAGCTGGCAGAAGTCCGCCAGATAGTAGTTTCTTGGGTCTGTGGAGGCTGTAACCTTAAGTACCTGGGCTAAGAAGGGGTGTGGGGGAGAGAGGGATGCAGGGGTGGGGGATGTCACCTTGATTCTGGACATCCTAGAAAGTGGTAAGAGCAGAGACACCACTCACAGCACCCTGTTCCAAGGGCACAATAGAACAGATAAAATCTGAATGCAAAGGGCCGTTGTATTAAGACCCAAGAGAGAAATTTCAGGTGTATCCCCTCACATCTTTGCCATGCTCCCTCAGGCGTCCAGGAAGCCTCCCACCACAGAGATCACTTAGAATCATCCTGACCAGGACCTCACAGTGAACAGAAATTGATTTAGACAGAGATGAGGCTAAGAGCATCTGCTCCAAAAATAACACTTGTGTCCTACAGGGAACGAATACTGAAGCTTTTTCTTCACAAAGCAAGGCGAAGTCGGTTTAAAAACAAAGTCATTCAGTAATACGCCAGAGTATTTAAAAGAGAAACGAGAGAGAGGGTGGAGGAGTGGGAGGAAAGGCTGGTTAGGCTTTTTCCAAACAAACAACCTTTCACACACTGTCAAAACATAGGTTGGCCTCGGTCTGCCTGTCAGAGCTTGCCGACCATTCCCCAAAGCAGAAACACATTTGGCCTCACCCTACAAAGAATTATGTAAGGAGCTCGTGGGTGCCCTTTGCCTTTGCACTGCTGTGCTGTAAACCATCATCCCTACGTCAGAGAGGGCCGCGCTGGGTGCGGGCCCACTGCCAAGGGCCAGGCCCTGATCTGAGAGCCATGCAAAAGGCGCTGGTGCTGTTTTTTGGTTCTTGTTATGTCATCCTGGGTCCACATTTTTGAGTGTGAAAAATCAGTCTGAGAATCTCTCCTAAGGAGGAAATGCCTTTCCCCCGGGTCTTATGAAAACAGTAGCAATCTAACAGGGCAGAGCTTTGAGAAAATGCTTGAGCTGTCACATTGAAATTGAAGAAAGAATGCTTTTGGCTGACAACTATATGCTGTGTACTGCTTGATTCTCTTTGTTCTAATACTTTCTTGTACTCCTGAGTTATCAGTAAGCCCAGCCTTGTCCAATGAAATGTGCGAAGTTACATGTCATTTAAGATTTTTGAGCAGCTGCATTTAAGAGGTAAAAAGAGAGAAGTAAAATTAAGTTTAACAATATCTTTTATTAACTTCAATATATTAAAAACTATCATTTAGGTCATCCTGCGGGTGAATGGGTGGATGGGGGCGGTGGCTGCTAGGACAGGCATTTAAAATCTGCTTTTTAAACCTGGTGCACCACCATGCTGGCCGCAAGACTGGTGTGTCTCCGGACACTACCTTCCAGGGTTTTCCACCCAGCTTTCACCAAGCCCTCTCCTGTTGTAAACAATTCTATCACAAAGACTCAGTGGCTTTTAACACCTAGCAGGGAATATGCCACCAAGACCAGAATTGGGATCCGGCATGGGGAAACTGGTCAAGAACTTAAAGAGGCAGCATTGGAACCATCAATGGAAAAGATATTTAAGATTGATCAGATGGGAAGATGGTTCATTGCTGGAGGGGCTGCTGTTGGTCTTGGAGCATTGTGCTACTATGGTTTGGGAATGTGTAATGAGATTGGAGCTATTGAAAAGGCTGTAATTTGGCCTCAATATGTAAGTGATAGAATTCATCCTACTTACATGTACTTAGCAGGAAGTATTGGTGTAACAGCTTTGTCTGCAATGGCAATGGGCAGAACTCCTGCTGTCATGAACTTCATGATGAGAGGTTCTTGGGTGACAATGGGTGCAACCTTAGCTGCCATGATTGGAGCTGGAATGCTGGTACAGTCAATATCCTATCACCAGAACCCAGGTCCAAAGCACCTTGCTTGGTTACTACATTCTGGTGTGATGGGTGCCGTGGTGGCTCCTCTGACAATACCAGGAGGGCCTCTCCTCATCAGAGCTGCATGGTACACAGCTGGCATTATGAGAGGCCTCTCCCCTGTGGCCATGTGTGCACCCAGTGAGAAGTTTCTGAACATGGGCACTGGGAGTGGGCCTGGGTCTCGTCTTTGTGTCCTCACTGGGTTCTATGTTTCTCCCACCTACTTCTGTGGCTGGTGCCACTCTGTACGCAGTGACAGTTTATGGAGGAATAGTTCTTTTCAGCATGTTCCTTCTGTATGATACCAAAAAGTAATCAAGCGTGCAGAACTAGTACCATTTTATGGGGCTCAAAAATATGATCCCATCAATTCGATGATGGGAATCCACATGGATACATTAAATATATTTATGCGAGTTGCCACTATTCTAGCAACTGGTGGAAGCAGCCGAAAGAAGTGAAGTGACTCAACTCTGGCTTCTTAGATACATCAGATATCTTACTTGTTAACAGGAGCAGATACTCATTAGTTTGTACAAGCAGCTTTTTTTTTGAAATTTAGAAAATAAGAACTTGTCAGCATGTTTCAAATGTTCCAGTAATATAATGCTTCAGGTCTGCTTTTTCTTCTGGATAATAAATTCAGTAGATCTCTCCCAAATAAGCACAAACATTTCCAGTTTTTGTGTTTGAATAATTCTAGTTGTTCTAATGAATGTGAAAGCTAAGGTTTGTGTTATGAAAATATGTGTCTAGTCTAGTTTTAATTTATTTAATCAAGTGAAAATTAGTAAACCTGCATAATATTTTTATTGCAGAATATTGACAATGTCATAAGTGACAAACAGGTTTAGTGAAAGGACTCAGTCTTTCTTTGAATACTTAGCACTTGCAGTCTTTCTTTGAATACTTAGCACTTCTGTAAGTGTTGATGAGCCAGTGAAACGGGTCTATTTGAAACAAACTCACTGTTTTTATATTCATCTGCTGAACTTATCAAAAGTATTGAACATTAAGTCAAAACATAGAATTTTAATCACATGGAGAATTCCAGATTAACATATATATATATATATATATATATATATATATATATATATATATATATATATATATATATATATGTGCCTGAGTTTTGCTTTTTTTTTTTTAAAGATTTATTTATTTGTGTATACAGAACTGAGATACAGGCCAGAGGTTCAGGGGCGGCGAGAGGCTTCACCAGAGACAGAGTGGGGAGCAGAACAGGCAGATCGACAAAGTACACTGCTGAGGGGAGCAGCGGGTGGGCCAGGAGAGGTCTGCCACACCATGTGGTCACCTCCAAGGCAGGCGGGAATCGAACTCATGCGGAAGCGGCTTTAGCTTCTAAGTGTTGTGCTTTAACCCACTGTGCCACCAGGGAGGGCCGAGTTTTGCTTTTGAAGATTAATGAACACATTATCCTTAAAATGTTTCTCAGAATAATTAGTAAAAGCATGAAAATCATTTCATTTTCTAGTACAGAAACCATATATTCATAATTGCTGAGTTTGGAGGGGGCATATTTATTGAAATTTTTAATAGAATACATGCTTGCCTTTTTCATCTTTTCAAGCTTTAAAGCTTTCTTCAGGAAAGCCTGTTTGTGGCTTACCCTTGAGATTATGAAAGCAGTTTTTCTCCTGACTTTTTTAATGTTATGTCTCATACAAAGCACTGAAAAGGAAGGCAAAAGCTAGTTTTTCTTCATTTATTATAGCAATAAAAAATGCAACTGGGAAAAGGCTAAAAGGCTTCATTAATGCTTTCCTGGCAGAATTTTTTCTCTCCTGTATAGACTAATATTTAACTCTATGACATTTATAGGTTTCCTGATACAGAAGAGTTATTTTTGAATATTCTTAATAAAAGAAATAATTATATGATTATTTAGATGATTAGTATTTTTGACAAATATTTATTATGTAATCCAGAAACAGCTATTCTAAACATCTCAAAGTATATGAGATGCTTCTTCCTGAAGTAATAAAGATTCCAAACAGATTAAAAAAAACCAAAAAACTATCATTTAACCTGAAATCGATATAAAATGCTAACTTTACCTCTTTTTGGTGTTTTGAGTTTTAAGAATCTGATGTGTACTTTATACTCAGTTCAAATGAGGCACATTTCAAATGCTCAGTAGCCACCTGTGACCAGTGACTACCTTAATGGGCAGCTCAAAATTGACCCTTTTTTAGGTCGTTTTGTCATTCATAAGTAAGAGGAAGTTAAAACATGGTTTTTTCCCTACTCAGTTATACAATAGACTATCTGGGCTACAAAAAGCACTCTCTTGTTAATTAAACATTATCTGGCTGATGAGAACAGAATTTAGGTGAACACAAAGTTTAGAAGTTCTAAAACCACTCTCCATTGCCTACTGGGACTGTTAAGGAGAATATCACTTTAAAAAAAAATTTTACCCACATAAAAAAAGTATTTAAAATGGAACACTTTATGTGCTAACAGTCGGAGTCTAGCGTTTTCCCCAGT